GTGGGGTACATGTAGGCGGGCTCTTTGGAGGCGGTACCTGGTTGGTCGAGGGCTTGTAGCCTCTTCTCGGTCTCTGAGAGATGGCCATTGTAGAAGGCATAAGAGTGCATCTTCATGAGCAGCACCATGCTGTGCAGTACGAAGAAGACCTGGGCAGTCCATGTCCAATTGAAGATAAAAGGCACGACGATCCAGAATGCCAACCATGCAACTTGGTAGATGCTCTGGACGGCCACGCCGCCCTTGTTCCAGGTCCACGAACCCCGGCTCTTCCTGAACAGCTTATGCAGAGGCAAGCTGACAGCCGTGCTCCCGACCATGAAGAATTCGGAAATGGCCAGGTGCCACGGCTTGATGGTGAACAGGGCCCAGATCTGCACACGCAGGGGATATCCGGTGTCCTTGTAATTGCGCAGCATGGTAGTGATGCCCATGATGGCGAGGCCGATCCAGAAGAGGTTGAAGAAGCCATGGAAGTCGCGATAGTCGGAGTTGGGATCGAAGTGGGAGACGCGCGAGGCGAATTCGGTGGTCGGGAAGAGACGTCGTCGTTGTTCGGCGCGGACTTGCTTGCGTGCGCTCGACAAGGCCTTGGTCGAGGCCGGGGCGTTTTCGGGGATGGGCGTCGAGCGACCGCTGCGAGAGGGTTAGAAACAGCTCTTTCTAGAGGGCGACAGCAGCGCGCATGTACCTCGCCACAGCCGAGGCCAGCTCGTGTGGTGTGTCGAGCAGGCCGTCGATAGAGCTGCTGCTGCGTTGCCTCGCAAGGCCGGCAACCTGCGAATGCTGGGGTTTGCGCGGGCGCGGGCGCAAGACGTGATCGTGAACGCCGCCGTTGGTCTCTATGTTTGTCGACGACATGGTCCCGGCTGTGGCGGCACCGAGGCGGGTTCGCTGTGTCGTCGGTGACGCCGGGTCAGGAACGAACGACAGAATCACAAAATGGCAGAATCGTGAAATCGACAACGTGGTTTGAGGACGCTGAAACCGCCGAAACCCCCAGCAGCCAATGGAAGCGAATCGAGTTGTCGCGAGGTAAGCGCCAGGTGTAACAACAGAAGCGAGGAGAAGAGATCTATTGAACGACCGTCGTGAATTACGCAAACAACATCAAGTTGATAAGGGAGGATGATAATGAGGGTGGTTGTGGTGATGGTGATGAGAGTGTGGGGGCGCGAAGAGAACCAGCCAGATGCCAAAAATAATCGATAGGTGACAGTAACACAAAGGTACCTCGGTACTAAGAGGTAGGGAGGTAGCGAGACCAGAGAATGAGAACAAGTAGACAACGGAACATAGAAGTCGCAGGATCGACTCTCCTAAATTCGAAGAAATGGCACATCGAAAATATAATTAGGACTTATTTAAAGGCGCAATTCGCAACAGGATCGAGTATGGACAAGGCCTCGGCACAGTCCAAGGCACACCTCGCGCGGTATCATCCATACAGATTTGGCAGTGGAATACAGTGTGCATACCTAAGTAAGTAGGTAGGTAGGTAGGTACATGTAGTAGTTCGTCGCAACATTGCGGGGTTGACGTCATCTGTTGGTTGTGCCGCCTAATTGGGATGTCCGAAGTTCGCATCTATGCATACGTCAGTCGAGATAGACAATTAGCTTAATCGGCTTGATAAGGGTGCAGCGACTACATGCCTATAGGTTTTTTGACTTCCAATAGATACATGAAATGGGCGTGTTCCCATGGATCTCACACTGTCCAGGCGATATCGCATAGTGAACCTCTGTGTGTGCTAACATTGAAATTATATAATTGTATATTCCGAATCGATTTGCGGATCGAAGCTTGCATGTCCTCCAGCAATTCAACGGTGCAACCACGAGCGGGCAGTGTTCTTAACCCCAGCGCGCCCAACACCAGCACTGGGCAGGTTGCTAAAGACGGGAGAATGCCGGCAATGATACGGCGTCGACTAGGTCGGCCATGTCCACGAGCTCGTCCAAGTCGCCAAACTCGTTCGCGACCTTAAACATGCTCAGCATGTCCTCCGCATTGGGGTAGTAGTCGCCGATAACAGCCTTAGGGTCGACCTTGTTGTCAGCGAAGGGGGCCTTGCAAAAAAAGGTTGTCGTGTTTCGCAATGCAGTCTAGGATGGTCAGCCGTTATTGTGCCCCTTGCCGAACTCGCTGCTTTTAACATCACTATCGAGACAGGCAGCATAGATGCAGCTAGAGCAGCAAGTTATACCCTTGGTTTCCTTGCGTGTGAAGTCCCTGTCCGCCTTGTCACAGGCCATAAAGCTATTGACCCGATCCGGTATCTGTTCTTTAATATACCCGTCATAGAGCTTGAACCTCTCGTCATGGCCTTTGCTGATCATATCCCGGTGCTTTTCCCACGCTGTTGCCATGGCAGGAATCTGGATATCGACAAGATATTTTTGAACGCCGTGAGCAGGCAGCGAGTGCTTTCGACTCTGGAGCTGCTGCAGCGTGATGTATCTTGCGTGGCAGGTAGGCCAGTAGTTGTCGTCAATTTCCACTTCTTCATCAAGTTAGCATGATCAGGACCTCCCAAGGTGTTCAGGGCTAGTTCCACTCTAGTAACTAGTAGAACAAAAAAAGATTCATATTACGTTATACGAGTATTTCCAGAGATGCTTTTCTATCAGGGGGAGTGATCTCCAGAGTGAAGTTGGGTCACAAGTAGGTCGCTAGTAGATAGAAGTATAGGGGTAGGGGCTCAACATTATTGATTCATAAGTCCCTCTCTAACTAGATGGGAGGACTCAGGTCTTCATATATCTGAATTTCTCACTTTATCCACCTAAGCGGGTAGCTTCTGCTCCCCCTATGACTTTAGTACCTGGCATTTGCCTAGCTCATTCGCTCACCTGATGGGTAATGGTATCCATACTGGGCCCATGATGCCGCAGTTAATTCGTCTGCTTGCCTGAATTCCTCCACTTCCAGTTCGTCCAACATGACATCCATCTCGATGCTTCTAAGTGTGCTGCCGTCTTCTGGATTGATGAAGAATAAGTTTTCCCGGTTGCAGGGCCAATAGTAATCCTGCGCAGCCCCATGCCAGTTTCTCAAGCCGTCGGCACAGACTACATGGATTTCCTTCGCATTGACAAAGTCCGTAAGTCTCTCGCCTCCCCAGCCAAAGAAGTTTTCTTCCGAGATCTTGCGCTCCAGCTTGAGCCGACGAATAAGTGATGCGACTGGTGTGAAATCTTCCAGCTCAGTTGTCCCAATCGAGACGATGTCGATCTCGAAGTCCAGCCAGACATAGCGCGGCTCGGGGGCGGCAAGCTCGGAAAACGCTTTTTGGTACAGCCCCTGGTAACGAGCTTCTCGGCAGGTCTGTAATATTGCGGGCACTGGCGTCGGAGAGACCAGATACGGCATTCGTGCGCTCCCCCTGTGAGCAATGCGGACCTCGACGGTACGAGGTATGACTGTCATGGCCCATATCTGAACACGGAGCTCTGCCGGGAGACGAGGGAACGGGTGGAAAGTGGCCATGGTGCCCAGTCCTACGGCAGCGCTTACTGGGCGCATACAGCACTGCTTCTCCGCACTTGTGACTTGTAGCCCGTGGCTTATAACTGAGATGATGTGAGATGTGATATGAAGAAGTTGGTCCGAGAAGACGAGAGTCTAGACGTATTCTATCTCGTCCAGAGATGAATGTCCGGATCCTTAGCGCCGTGGCCTTTGCGCCGTCGCTCTCTTCCCGGGTGGCGCTGGCGAAAAGGTTCGGGATGCTGACGAACGGGAGACTAAACCTGCAGTAGTGCGTGTCTGTTGGTCCTATTTAAATGGGGCTCAACCGGCCACCTCGTCTCAGCCTTCCACATCACCATCCTGCTGAGTAACCAGGTGTTAGGATGATTTAATTGGATTAGGTATCTAACAAGCGTATCTAAACGACGCCTATTTCCACATCAGCTAGGGAGATGGAACCGGCGCTATCTGCGGTTGCATTCTGGGTAGGATGGTTTGCACGGCCGCTAGTCGAATATGCAAGATCCAAGACCTGACATCCAGCATCCAACACCCAATGACCCTAGAGGTAGCTCTAGGTGACTTTGCGGATGAATCTGGTGTTGTTACCAGACGATCCAGATTCGACATGACGGCGGATAGAAAGATCGGTCATGGCCCTGACTTCTCTTGGCGCTGGGCATCTCGATATCTCTGAACTTCTTCCTTTCAAAACCCAATGGTTATGGCATCCTCCCTGTTCCCATCGTCAAAACTCCTGCCACGGACGCCTCTACTCCCTCCGTGAGTTTGACTAAGCAAGCTTCTTCTGCTTTGAAAAAAATGAAGATCTCCATCTTCCCCTCACTTGTGGCTCTCGCCCGCCAGGGCATCTGCACCGCCTATCCCACTCTTCAATGAAATTGAGACACAGCCGAGGTTTGCGTCGAATGGTAGAACAACAGCGATAACGAGTCGCACGATTACGTCCGCCATTATTTTGGCATCGCCCCTGACGAGTTCCATGAATGGAACCCTTCGGTCGGTGTTGAATGCAAGCCCTGGATGCCAATGCGTCGAAAGCCCTCTCTTAACTTGTGTCTATAAAGTCAATAAATTCTACACTAAATCCACTACTGACTCTGTCCTTTTTAGGTCTCGCAAGCACATCGATTCGATCAGGTATACAAGCTTTGCAATTCGTGGGGCAGAATCGGCTTGTCCGTCTCGGCACAAGTCACAACTTTAGGCGTAACAATCATATCCTGCACCTAATAAATATTGCCGCAGTGTATGCTGAAACGTAGTACCTAGAGATTGCCAACTAAAAAAATCGATAGCTTTCATACAAACGATTGTGGTGTATCATAGCGACGCGGATTACCTGAGTACCGAGTAATTGACACCGCATCCACCGTGAGGGGTACTTTAATATACTGTCCCTTGTACCTTGGGTAGAGTTTGGGTTTATAATTAACAAAATAACTAATGAGCAAAATAAGAAAGATCGCCACTCGTTGGAGTGAGTGTGTCAGGTCACATGATTTTGCTGATAGATGAATCGAACATGCGTTTGCTTGGCCACAACGAGCTGTACTAGACCGCTATGATATATCAGCTGGGATCAGCTGGGATCAGCTTGGATCGGCCGGCCACTTGGACGATTCTATAAGTAAGTACCTGGTTTATTTAAATGGGTCTTGAGTAGCGTGTTAGGGGGTAGCCTGGCAAACCACTCCAGGGTAGATACAGGACACCGGACAACTCCTCTCCTGAGAGAGAGAGAGAGAGAGAGAGAAAGAAAGAAAGAGAGGGGGAGAGAGAATGTGTAGGATGTCCCTCAACTATTCGACTAACACTAGCTAACGCGTTGTTTCTTACGCTCATTGAGGGCTTCTTTTCTGTTGATGAGCTTCTGCGGTTCTATGCTGTTGCGACGCCGTTGTAGTTTTTGCGACTTACCAGAGGCAAGTAATAAGCTATGCTGACATGCTTTACACGCCCTGTTTGTTTTTATGTTTAATTCGTAATAAATACTGTCAAATAGCCCGCTGGGATTTGTGAGGGGTATCTAAGTGTTACCAGCTCCCGCTCTTTGTTTTGTATTCTGAACAACAGGTGAGCTGAGCCAACAAAGCCCACATGAACTTTATGACAATTGGCCAGGCAGCTGAAATCTGTGAAACATTTTATGTGGCTATAAGAGAATATTCCGTCCCCATGTGCAAATGAGAACACTGATGTATAGAGATGGACGGGATCTCGGTGATTCTATGGCAGTCTGTCTGTCTCCCCCAGTCTTGTTTCTATCTCAGGCATCGAACTCCAAGACTCTAGTCTTGCAGAGGAGACTAGGCTTCTAGGTATATATATATATATATATATATATATATCTAAGATTTCCTTCCCAAGCTACAAACTCAACATCCTCTATCGCCATCGAAACAAGCTTACGTGCTGAAGCGAGAGTGGATTGTTCGAATAGATCGAGCAAGCATAACGACACGCCACAACATACCCCCATGGACCACCTATCCATCACCCTAGCGCGAAACACCTACAATAATGACGTCGAAGTCGGCAAAATATCCGAGGCCGAGCTCAGGCCGCCGTTCCGAGGCTGGTAGGGGGATGCCGGCAACGGGCACCAAAAACCGGCGTCAAACAAAAGGGATGCATCAAGCAGCAGCAGCAGCAGCAGCAGCAGTAACACAGCATGAAGAAGCAAGACAAAAACCAACGACTAGCCATGTCGAAGCGAACAGAGCAAACACAGATTCTCATACATCTACTCCCGAAGCATCACAGCCGAGCCAACGTACTCGCTGCGGTAAGACAAGATGGTCTACTATCGGAACCTGGCTTGTCGTCATCGCTTTCATGTTCCTATTTGCCAGCTTCGTAGTGGTCACGACAATCACTCTTGCATCTTTGATCAGGACCTTGGGGAGGGTGGGGGGTTTAGTTCTGGAGTGCTGGCGAGGTATTTCTACCTACGTGACGTGATCGGGCGAAGCCGAGTTCGCGTGGGAGATATGGGGTTTATTTGTCTGCTTGGCTGTCGTCCTGCTTACAATACCAGCATATTACGGCTATTGACTTGCAAATTTGCGGAGAATGCTTGCTAGAATACCTAGTGGACGCCTGAAGACTAGGTGGACGGTCGAAGAACATGAATGTAAGAGGCTGGTCTAGAGTCGAATTACTGGCGTCCTCGTACTAGGAAATGAACATACCTGATCACTACTGCTAGAATCGGAATTAACCCCAAGGTTCGCCGACATCATCGTATGCAAACGTGTCTCTGGTGATACAGAAAATCTAGATGCTACTAAGCAGGAATATGCTGTTCCCTTTCTGTCAGAACAGCATGTTCCTCTTCTATATACAGCTGTTTATACATATATACTACACTAAGTTTGTACAGTGCCTATCGCTATGCCAAGGATTTATCTATGGGTTAGTTGACAGTTAAATGCAAAACTCTACCGCCTGCCTAGTCTATCAAAGAACTTGTACCCATTGTTCTCTAGAAAATGCCGGCCATTCCTTGATGTCGTGGTGCGCTTCTTTAATATATTGAAGATGGCATCAACATATGGACAAATCCATACAAATGTTGAAATGTTCCCATTCGTGGTCCGCCCTTATATCGAGAAGTGATGGGCTGTCACTTATCTGTGCCTCCTCCCCTGTGCTTGCTTTGTCTTCTCTTCTGTTCTTCCTGTTCTTTCTTAGCATTATACCCGTGCCTGTATAGTTATTCCTGTAGTGCAGATTGTTGCCTCGGAACGGCCGCGGGTTGTCCCTCAAATCACTCATCTCATACAGTGTGAATGGCGTCACCAACGGACCGGTACTTCCTGTCGGCGTAGCCTAAGGCGATGGGAGCTCGATTGAAATTTTCGTTGGATTCCTTAGGGAATATTACACCAACGACCTCGCCTATCATGACGACGTTCTGTCCGGCATTCGGCAGCTCAGGATGTATCGTGCGCACCAAACGGCAATTCAGCACCTCCATGATTCCTCTGGAACGTAGACACGGAACATGATGGACCTGTCTCATAGGCTCGGCGGCTTCGGGATCGTGCATCGAAGGATCTACATCGTGTGAAGGCCCGGAAACCAGATGACCTCTCTCTTTGGCATCTTGGTATTGTTCATGCCACGCGTCTCGGTTCGCGATCTCGACATGGTGCAGACCCTCGCCTTTCAGCCCCACGAACACGCCCAGGTCAGCATCGACATCGAAGGCATATTTCGAGGACTTGGCCCTTCCGACGCGTGGCGAGGGCAAGCGATTGCCGCGCGAGAACACGCGGGCGACTCGCGCGCCGGATTCATCAGGGGCCAGGACGTGGACGTTGAAGTCTTTGCACGCGACGAGGGCCTCATACATGGTGCTGGGCAACGTCATGTTGAACATGACGTGGGGCCGCGGTCGGATGCACAGGGACGTGAGGGAGGAGGCGGTGATGCCGCGCGCAATGGGATGTCGCATTTCCTCGACCGGCACCCCGGCGGCGGCCTGGGCGTTGTATGTTCGGTCGAGGGTCGTGATGACGACGGCGGGGTGCGGGAGCTTTGCCATGGTTGCTGTTACGGAGCTGCAGAGATCTTGGAGAGCCCGGGTGCTGTCTTTGCAGTTGGCAGGCGCTTCGAGGACGCTCGGATCTTCGCGCGTGGCGGTCGTCGTTTTGCTGCCGCCAATCTCTCCGGCTGGCGTCTTGACGTGTTCTCTGGACGTGTAGACTTGCTGCTCCCGACCTGCTGTTTCCGGTTGGCCCTTATTCCCTTCGCGAAGCGCAAGCGCCCGCTCGATGTTGGAGGTTTGTCGTGTTTGGCTGATGCTGCGCCGTATCACGGAGCGCGCGCCGGTCCGGCATGGAGAGTAAGGCAAGGCATAACGTGGACTTGTGGGCGGAATTGCCCGCCGCAGGCCACGGATGCTGTGCATCTCAGCCCATGAATGGCAAGGAGAAGGGCAGAAGCCAGAACTTGGATCCTTGGTGTAAAGTTGAGCTGCCCGCCGGAGGATCAACGCGCAATGTCGTCAGAAATTCGACGTTTTGGAGGTGCTGCGGGACAGGGATGTAGCAGAGGTCGGCTCGGTTTTTCGGACTTGAAGAATTGATAGCGGGGTCTGGACCTAAACTAATTCTGGTAGGTACCCACTATATGTCTACACCACCCCGCCCATTTCTCATACAAAATTGGACATCTAGTGGACACCTACCATAATAGGTTTAGGTTAAGGCGCCAAAAACCGGGCTACCGAGTATCGGTGCGCTCGGTAGATAGTGTACTGAGGGGCACAGCGATAAGGATCCCTGGCAATTACCTAAGCTAGGTAGGTGTCCCTACTCCGAAGGTGTATTGGCGGTTGTCAACGGGCCGATCATCCAAAAATCCCAAGGCTCTTGGCTCCAGGCCTAGAAATTTGGCGCCGGGCTCTACATACCTACTTGAGTCGACAACAAGCTTCATTATCTCTGGGCGTAGTCTGCATTGGACTCAGAAGACAGATTTCCAAACGCAACACAAGGTGCCGACACGCCCATTGATTCCCACTCTCGAATTACCGCAGCATCATCCTCATCACAGCCTGTCGCGATCCGATCAAGTCGAACAATTAAGTAGCGAAGACAGATCAACGAAACAAACCCAACGACATCCAAAAAAAGAAAAGAAAAAGAAAAAACCTAAAATACAATGGCGACCAGGCTCCCAAGCGCCCTCCCACGGCGTCCCACACCAGCCCTCTCCTCCTTCAAAACGCCGACAGCCACCTCACCAGCGCACCAGACGCCATCCCACACGCCCCTCTCGCACACCCCGAGCCGCGCCGCGACGTTGATCCGGCGGCCGCGGCGGCCGTACTCGTTCACGCAGCTGGTGCAGCTCTCGGACGGCAGCACGTACACGATGCGGACGGCGTCGCCGCTGGGCCTGTACAAGAGCACCAAGGACACGCGGAACCACGCGCTGTGGAACCCCAACGAGAAGAGCCTGCAGAACGTCGAGGTCGACGAGGCCGGCAAGCTGGCCGCCTTCCGCGAGCGCTTCGGCCGCGGCTGGGATGTCGCCGTCGAGCCTGTCGAGAATACGCCTGGGACCGAGCAGGCGGCGGCCCCTTCTGCTAAGGATGGCGGAAGCTTTGATTCTCTGGCGGATTTGATTTCTGGCTATGCGGTTGGCATACCTGATCTTCCTAACTCGGCATCGCCGCGCGGAAAGAAGAAGTGAGGAGGCGATGACGATGTTAGCTGGCTGGTTTGAAGCGGAACAACATAACTAAAACAACCATCGAAGGGGTGGGGTCATAGGATCATCAGCTCATGATAAATATCACCTTCCGGCGTGACCTGTCCCGTGTATATATCAAGGCTGGGGACTAGAGGTTTTCGTTAATTAGACGCGTTGAGGATTTTATGTAGCTATATGTACAACCCTGTATAGATTTCACCTCCGTCCATCAACTTCCTTTGCGATCCGTCAACACTGTTGTAATATATCAGACGCTCAACAACTACATATCTATGTTCAGTCTGAATCCTCGTCAATGGTGGCCCTAGCTCGGTCTACGGCAGTGTCACCACGGCCCGCAACTTTGTCG